TATTTCTTTTTTTTATTACAAATTATCAAAATTGCACTAAATAGATTTATATATATATTTTAAATTTTTTTAAATTAATAATTTAAAAAGTTATAAACATAAAAATTAATTTATAAATTTCATGTATATCACAAGATAAAATATTAAATTAGTTCAATATATTTGTAATATATATATTTTTTAATTTATAAAATCCCGCGTATAACACGGGTTACCACTAGTCTATATATTAAGGAAAAAAGGGGTTTATAATGAGAAGCCTCCTAAGAGTTCCAAACTCTCATTCTAAAATTATTGATTTTTCAATTTATAAAATAAATGAAGAAAACTATTGGTTGATTTAGAGTTATGCTAAATACCCCAAATGATTTACCAAATTTTTTACAAAACCTCTCACATGAATGTGGGACTCACACACATATGGGTTTGTGTGCGTCCCACTCCCATATGAGAAGTTTGGTAGAAAATTTGGTAAATCATTTGAGGTTTATAGAATTTTTCTATTTCATAATCTCTCCATCCTAATCTTTCTCACCCATTTTCAAAAAAAATATTAAAATTTGTCTTTCTTCTCTTTCTCCCAAAAATTCTTTCTTTTGAATCTCAATATCCAATTTTAAATTTTAGAAATCTTTAAATTCTATCTAAACTAATCTAATTTGAAAATATCTCTGACCATCATACTTTAAATCAATAAAACTCACATGTCTATCACATATCTAACTCATTTCATAACTTATCTAAATAATAATAATTAAAATAAATAGAAACCACAGATAAATTAAATTTAAAAAAAAATAGAAACCCACAACTCTATCTTAAATAAATTGAAAAAAAAAACAAATAAAAACTACACAAAAATAAATAAGATAAAATTTAGATATAGATCTCAAAAAGATATGACAATATTTAAATTTGAATTATGATTTATTAATATAATTATCTATTTTTTTGGATGTAGATCTATCAAAATTTTAAATTAGTTAATGCGGCAAATTAATCAATTTTCAAGTTTTGTTTAAAAAATAATCTGATTATTCATCCCAACTCTTAGACTTCACAGGCACTAGTGGATGAGTTGACAGATTGGGCTGGGCGAGGTCCAAGTTGTTGGAGGTAATATCCTACCACTCCATAAATTTATTTGTTTTTTAATTTAATTTTTTTTTTCCTATGTGATTCTCCTTTTCTACTGTTGGTTTGGTTTTGGTTTTAGTGAGGTATATGTGTTTATTTACATGTTTGCATGGTAAAAAAGAATTATTGGTAATGATGGTTGCAATCAAAGTATCTATGCCTGTTCTGTGCCAAGAATTTTGATTAGATTTTATTTTCTTCAAAGAAGACCAGAAAATTGAAGTAAAAAAAATAGGTACCGAATTTTTATTTTTTATTGTTATTTTTTTTTTATAGAAAATGTGAAAATTTATTAAGAATTCAAGATATTATTATAACATTACATTTTTGTATAACTAGGTAAATTAAAAATTTTTAAATATTATTCTGTTCTTTATTTTTATTCTCTTTCTATCCCATTATACCATTACTGTTATTTGTTAGTTTGTTAATTATAATTCAATTAATTGAAAATGAAAGTTTAGCATAACTTTTCATATATATATATATATATATATTATAGTTAATTTGTTACTGCTATAGTTGTATATAGGGAAAATCGGTCTAGGGTCTCTCCCACTTTTGCGTAATGGAAGAGATCCACAAAATTATTTTTTGATGTCTAAGGTCCCTAAACATGTATCAGAGAAATTTCAGTCATTTATACTATCTTCATCATCTGATCCACCACCACCCCAACAACCCGACTCTGAGTCCTCCTCACCTTCCAACACTTCTCAAAGCTTTACCCAATGGAGATTTCCACTCCCAAACTCACGCATCTCACACCACTCTCACCCACCACCACCACCGCCATCGGAATTTGACCCATCACCACCTCAAACCCATCGCCATTCTTACCCACAACCACCGCCTCTAGACTTCCACCTCACCGAGCTCCAACTCACTTCAGACTCCGATTCTGACCGACTCAATGCCCTCCACATGCTTCTTCTCTCGCAGAAGCCATTATCCTACGAACTGTGGTCTTGAACCGAAAAACTGCAGTACAAAGTCAAATGACTTTTAAGAGGCAGCACCTTTGGACTCCTGAATGTCCAACTCATGCTCTGCTACCATGATACATGAATCTGCTTCCAAAGGTGAGGCCATGCTCTTACCCTTTTGTGGTGAGTTGAGCATTTCGGTTGTGCACTGTATATCAGGCGTTATACCAACCTGATCTATGTCATGGAGTGCTGGTGATAAATACTTCGCAACGGTGACAAATAGAGTTGATCCATCATGCAGCTCTGTAATTCTCTGTGGCACACAAAAAAAAAATCAGAGAAAATTGAATGAACACCCACAAAAAATTTCAATTCAGAGAAATTTGAACACCCAGAGAAAATCTCAATCTAGAGAAAATTGAATTTCTCTGGATTTTTGTGATTTTCTCTAGGAATTGATCAGTGAATTTCTTTGACTTTTTGTGATTTTCTCTGAGAATTTATCAGTGAATTTCTCTGAGTTTTTGTGATTTTCTCTGGGGTTTGGAATTTAGAATCTTGTGTTTGAATTTCTCTGGTTTCAATCTAGAGAATTTCTCTGGTTTGGAGAGAATTTCTTTGGTTTTGGACCAAAGAAATTTGTGGGTTTGTAGGTTTGTTAGACATGGGTTTAATTGTAGTTAATAGAGCCAGAGAAATTTGTGAAGTCAGAGAAATTTTATGGTCCTGAGCTCTGCTTTTCTTTGACAATGGCTCCGGTGAGGAACAGACCAACACCGAAGCCGATGCTGATGATGCCATGGCCCATGAGTCGTTCAGGCTGTTGGAGCTGAAACAAACATCTGTGACACAATTTGGGCTGCCGGACATTGATCGGAACTTTTGTTTGTTGGATCGGTGAATCCCTGATGTTGATTCTAGCATTAGCTTATGGAAATCCTCCACTTTGTCTTGTTTTCAACATACGAGTATATACATAAACAATCAAGATTCAAGAACACAATGATGGAAATAATTGGAATAGATCAATGCATTGACAAGAAGGTACAAACCTTGTAGATTTGAAGAATACCCAAGTGCTAGTTTTGGTATTCTACTGCGAGACAAGGCTTTAGATTACTGAAATTTCTCTGGATCCTGTTGAGGGACCTTAGACATCATGAAAATATTTGATGTCCTTTATACTATAAAGTCTTAATATCAGGGACCTTAAAAAAAATTCCACATGTATATAATGGCATAATATATAAGAATAATCTCTAAATATAATTTTTATTTTTTTATGTGATTAAAATAGTCCATCCTAAATAGTATATAGATGAGTTAGATGGTTTCTTTTATCCTTAAAAAACCCAATCCATATTTTTTTATTGACTTTTTAATTTTTTAAATCGAAACATTAGTTGTTTATGTCCACAAAACAAAACTGATAAATATATATCCAAAAGTTACACATTTTTTTTTCTTTTCTTTTTTCTTTTTTTTAATAGGTAGGATATTTATAAATGAAAAATATTTGACACCTAAAAAAATTTCTATAATCCGACTTATAATGATATAGTTATAAGTGTCAATTTTTATACAAATATAAGAAGAGAATTAATCAAATTATAGATTTCAACCAACTACATACTCAAACTTTTATTATTTCAATACGTTATTTCACTATAATTTCAGTTAAGAGAATTTTTAGCTCTTAATATTTTTTTTATCAAATTATAATTTGATAAAAATTTAAAAAAATGAAGCGTTGGAAATTATATATATTTTTTACATCAAAATTGATCAAAAGAAAATAAATTGGAATAAGAATGAAAGTTCTTTTAAAAATTGATAAAAAATTTAATGAAAAAGTTAAAATAATTTATATCAAATCAAATTTTTTATTCAAATTTAAAATCAAATTAGGTATAAAAAAAATTAAAAGAAAATGATGAAGGTTGAAATTTTTTATTTTTAACGACTGCAAATTCGTGTGTGTATTATATTTATATCATATTTTTAGTTATGAAATTGAAATTAAAATAAATGTAACTTAAATTATTAAATTAATAATAAAAATATCATATCAATTATTATTAAATATCACTTCACTTCACATTAATAATAAAATTATATATTTGTCTTCATTATAACTTTTAAATTTGTATATTTTCAAAGCAAGAAGATTTATGTCAAAACTCATTTAATTTCATTTAATCAGATTTAATTTTTTTAATATAAATTACAATTTCTTTTAATCGGTAAAAGATTAATTATAAATAATGCAATAATTATATTAAATTGGAAAATCCATTAAGAAAACCCATAATAAAAAACTTTTAAAAAAAAACCTTAATATAACGCCTATAATAAAGTGAATAAGGGATTGACCCTTATCTCCCCAAAAAGAGTTTTTTTTTGCTTTTGATCAGAAATAAGAGTTAAAATAGGAAACTACTTTTAAATGGAAATAAAAAAGAGAGAAAAAAAAAATAGAAAAGAAAAGAAAAGGAAAGAAAAAGGAAATGCAAAATTATGCAATCCTTCGTTATAAATTTTTTTTTTTAAAAAAAAACAAAAACAAAAATAAAAACAAAAAAATCCAAAATTGGATTAGGGCGTACGGCGTAAAATTAGGTAACATCCGATATTAAGGTTCACAACAAAATAATTGTGTCCGAATTATCGTATGCAACGACTTATCCAAAAACGTTGTAGTAAGTCAGCCTTACAACAAACCAAATGCTGACACTTGTCATAGTAAAGCTAGGCATCAATAATCAAAAGCTATTCTGACCGTAGATGCTGATTTCTGGTGGAACCCCACTATGATGTTTTCGTAAGTACCCGTCTGAGCAATCACACTTAAATAATACGAATAATGCTCCTTACTCTTTAAGCTAAGATCGAAAATCTGACACGTGGCAGAGTCTTAATCGACCCCCAATTCCATCTCTCTCTCTATACATACATATATTACTTACAGTCGATTAAGCGATCGGAGCGTGAAATTCTCGTCTAGGGTTTCGATCAATCTGAAAACAATGGGAGGCGGAGGAGTCATGAGAGCGGCGGCGAAGGTGGCCGGAATCGGAGTCGTCAATGCCGGCCTCCGCGGCGGCGTTACGGCGGAGCATCCCGTTTCCGCGGCGGCACGCAAGGCCTCTCGTCCTGTCGCGGCGATCGTTTCTTCTTCCGATGACGGGAAATCGAACGCGATCGACGCGGCGGTGCAGAGGCCGTGTTGGGAGCTCGATGAGTGGGAGTTCGCCGGCGGCGTGGAGGATCAGACGATCGGTGAGCCGATGCCAAGACTCGTGTTTGGTGGTGCTCCTACTCTTCAAGAAGCTAAAGAGGCCACTTCTGATCTCAAAGGCGCTCTCGAGAAGTATATACTCTTTTTCTCTCTGATTTGTTCATTTTCATTCAAGTTGTGAAGTTTTTGTAGATTTTGATTGTATGCTTGTCAATGCATTTCCATTTGAAGCCAATCACTGTGGTTTGGATTAAGGTTTTTTTTGGGTCATAAAACCTGAAATTTTATCATCTCTAATTTCTTTTAATTGGGTATGTCAAAAGGTGAGTGAGAATCAGGGATTTTTTGACTTTCTTTTGTTATTTCTGAATTGATGTCAGTGACTACTCAGCTGCTTTGTGTTTGTGTTGAGGCAAGAAACCTTATGTTCTAGTGACTCTATCCAATAGGCATCTTTTTTTTTTTCTTTTCTTTTTTATAACTCGGTATCCAGCCCAACAGATCAACTAATCTGGGCAACTAATCCAGGCTACCAATCCCCCTTGATCACCAGGCCAACCCCTTGGGGTTTATCCAATAGGCATCTTTGACAACTGGTTTCCCAATTGCAGAGTTTTTAGTTATTTTGGATTACCATAAACACATTTGGTTGCACACTAAGACTATCAACAAAGAGAAAGAGAAAATGTGTGTGTTTGTGAGAGAGAGAGAGTTGAAATAATCCTAATTAAATCAATGTGTGAGTTGCAAGCATCCATTGCGGTAAGGTTTTTTTGATGGTATAGGTAGGTTCTCAAGAGGCAATTATGAAACAATCGGCATAGGTATAAATTATAGATTGTTTTACAACTGTTGTTGATTCCAAATGAAATAAAAGAAACAAGGGTAGAATAGGTAGAGAAATGATTTTACAAGGATAACACAGGTAGTGAACCATTAGTGAACCATTTTCCTTTCAATTGGTTGTCTATTTTCCCTAGAAATCTAACTCAGAAGTTCACTCTAGCTTTTCTATAAGCACATTCATATCAATTCACTAAACATGTCATTTTCTTTGTAGAAGTTTTTTTAAAAGCTCCCACAAGACGAGAAAGTAGAAGTAAACTTGGCTACACTTTTTAGTCATTTAAAGGGGGAAAAAAAAAACATAAAGTGATTAATCCCTTTATGGATGTTATTTTTTAAAATTATTCTCTGTTTTGTCATCCTATTGTTTGGCTGAATTTCTATGCTCTGTTGCCTTGCCTAATATTCAGGGTATATCTGTCCTCGCCTAATTCTACTGGATGCAATGATTCACGTATGGTTGGTCATGAGTCTGCCTTGTCGCTGCTTTCAAAACCAGAATACCAGGAGACTAAAGCTTGTGTTGTCAGTGAAACCACAGCACCATCAGTGCCAAAAAATGCTCTTAAAGCATTTAGACTTCTCAATGAAAATCCTGCAACCCAGGTTCAAATCTCAACTCTCTCTTTTAACTTCTTATAGGCTTGAGGTTCTTTTGGAGAAATCGGACCAATTGGAGCTTAATTACTGATATTTGTGAATTTTATCGACAACTTCTTACCAAAGTATTGAATTGCATGTTCATTCTTCAATGCAGTATATATATTTAAGAAAGTTTAATAAATTGTCTGTGGTCTAATATTGAGGACAGGTTTATAGGCTTTTAAGACACCTCATTTTAGTTTGTAGCTTACATATTTGGATTTGGGATAATCTGATGCCAGCATTGTGCCTAGCCTTCTTGCTTATTTTTGTTGACTAGGCTAGTTTTCGTAAATGTCTAGGAATAACATGACTTAACATGACTTGATTTGGTTGCTTTTGTGACTGTAGATCTTTTGATGAGTAAACATTTCTGACTTTGTAGATACACTCGTGAGAGAGCAGAATATATTGCAGCCTTGTTATATATTTTTTGTTCCAAAAAATCTATTGACTAATCTATGTATATGCATAAATGGGTCAATGTCACATTACAAATCAAATTGATGTCGAGAAATTAAAATAGATAATGACAAACTTTTAGATAGAGAATAAAATAAACTAAAATTTTTGGATTTGCATTGTTTTTTTAATTTTATTTATTATTTTTACAAAATTCCTTTGTAATAAGCAAATTTAGTCCTTGTCATTCTTTTATTCATTCAATGACTTGGTGTCTCAGATACTTGGTTTAATAAAATAATATAGATAATGACAAACTTTTAGATAGAGAATAAAATAAACTAAAATTTTTGGATTTGCATTGTTTTTTTAATTTTATTTATTATTTTTACAAAATTCCTTTGTAATAAGCAAATTTAGTCCTTGTCATTCTTTTATTCATTCAATGACTTGGACCTAGTTTGGGAAGATTGAAAAAAGACAAAAAGTCAAAAAGTCACTATCCTATTTAAGTCACATCATCTTATTTAAGTCACATCACCTCTCTAATACATCACTTCAAACCCAACCCAAACCCAACCCATATTTCATAAAAAGTCAAAAAGTGCACTTATTTAGTCTTCCCAAACTAGGCCCAAGTCTCAGATACTTGGTTTAATAAAATAATTACTCACCTAGTAGCAGGTGAGACTTCCTACTTTTACTCAAAACATGCAGTCATTTATTTTTAACCTTCAACATCCCGTACAATTGTTAACGTAATGTCTTTTATTGGGTCCATTGTCTATCTTCTTCTAGCGTCCTGCTCCTGGTTTCAGCTATAGAATTATATATAAAATCCAAAGGCAATTGTATTTGTCAAAAAAATTCCAAAGATAATTGAACTGAAAAAATCTGCGTTGGGAATTTAATATCTTTACACTTCTTTTTTGGGAATATAATATCTTTATTCTGGTTTTGTACCTAGACTGTTGTTGCTTCCATTGCTTGTGACCCAAATGTATGGAATGCTGTATTGCAAAACGAGGCACTTGTGGAATTTCTCCAGACCAATGAGAGCAGTAAGAAGAATTGTTCCATCTTAAATTCCTTGTTATTCTTGTCATTTGTTACCTCCAAATGTCATTTAAATATCTGTTTGCAGCGACTCTCTTCTCAGATATGGATCCAGTCATGAAAGAATCTGTTGCCACCACAGAATTTCTAGATCCTCAACCTCCAAAGAACGTCGATGATTCTTTAGATTCAAAGCAATCTGCAGATTCTGGAAATGGGTTTATGGGTTTTATGGAGAACATAAAGACTACAGTGGTTGAGATGATGAACAGCTTATCTGAATATTTTCAGAATATATTTGGCGGTCCAAGTGCTGAACAAGTATCTGCAGATGCTGATGGAAGTGCCAAAGCAACCATTGTAAATGGAGTTGTGGGATCTTCTATAATGGGATTGGCGGTCATGGTTATCATGATGGTGGTGCTGAAGCGAGGTTAGGCTTCACTTCTTGGACACCTACCATGAATTTGCCGAAGCTACAAAACCAATATTGTCTTTTACAATTTCTTGTTTGAATGTCCTGGTTTATTACTAGATCACTGCTGAACATATAAATCTTAATCTATCTTTCTTATAGAATATTATTTTCAGATACTTATTGTGAGAAGTTTTCTTTGTATATAGCTTATGAAAATAGGGTACTTGGATATTTGGTTGTTTGGTTTTGAGGATGAGCCCATCCATTTAAATGCAACCCTGCATTTCTTTTTCTTCTGTGCTCGTGTGTATGGTGATTGTGTTTCATCTAGCTATCTATTTGGCAAGAATTGTTTGCTTATGTTGGATCAACGAACTTCTGCCTGGATTTTGGCAGAATCCTAACTTGAGACTCAGAATGTTTCAAGACTATAACTGATTCAAACAGGAAGTGTTATTCCTTCAAAATAAAAGGCTTGGGTTTGTATTATGAAAGCAAATCTTTAAGTGTTTCTTTGACCTCAATGGCATAAACAGTCTTGTTTGTGAGAGCTTCTTTTTCTGTCTGTGATTTTACTTAAAAAAGGAAAATTATATTTGCGCAAAATTATTTTTATATAGAAAATTTTGCAAACAGCATTTTTGTTATCAAATTCTATCCTGATGGATGAACTTTTGGTGAAAGCCATAGGGCTCAAGTTCAATCATAATTATTTTGTATATTTTATGTTTGGAGAAATCAATAGCATGCACCTCTAATAAGTTGTTTAAATTTGATTTAAAAACTTGATATTTTTTAAAATGTAATAAAACTTAATTTGTTTACCTAACGGGTTAATTTCAAATAAATTTTAATGAATTGAAAGCGAATAATTTGGTTTGTTTTACAATCTTAATCACATGGGGCCTTCGAAGAATGGCGCATATAGCTTCATGTTCACATTTTCAAACAATGCATATCCATAAGCAACTTAAAAGATAATATCAAAAGTTGCATACCAAATATACACAAATAATATATGTAAAAAAATAAGAACATCTTGCTCCAAGTATCAGATTACTCATTTTAAGCCTTCAAACACTTTGATTCCATTAAACAAATGGTTTGATACACCCACTTTGTAATACATACATTAAATAAAAAAAATCACATGAACTTGTGAATGTGTGTACTCTTTTGCAATCAATTTTGTGAATTTTGCTTGTAATAATCATTTTATGATACAACATTTACTTCGTGTGGTACACAATGAAGAAGATTCCACAACTAGTAGCTCAAATATCACTTTTCAATCTTAGCATACTTTTGAACCATTCAACAGAGGACTTTGGAATCCTTGTAAGGTTGTTCTTGTAATCCACATAGTATAGTCCAAACCGAACTGTGTAGCCATAATTCCATTCCCAGTTGTCAAGCAAAGACCACACAAAATAACCTTGCACGTTGCACTCGTCTTCCCTGCATCAGTTCAGTTTCACTGTTAAAGTAGCTAGTACACGGAAGTTTGGGACAGAGGAACAGAAAAAATTTGAAATAGAGAATCCCTAACTCCCTGTATACGGCTCAAACATAGAGCAGAATCTTCTGTTTTTGGGAGCCAATAATGAATGGAAATAGAACATAGAAATGTGCACAAAAAATAAAGGGAAAATTACTCATAAGTCCCATATTGGAAAATGTTACTCTATCTAGTCCTGAGTGTTTTTTTGTAAACCATTTAGTCCTTCTTTTACATCACAACATTATCATCAAAACAACATCAAACATCATATATTCGAACATCATCATCAACACTGAACATCATCACCAAGCTCTCTCTCTCTCCCCTCCTTTTCCTCTTCATCTTCTTAGGAGTCCCTCTCCTCTGTCCATCGCCTCTCCTCTAGCGACGCCACTCCTCTGTTCACTGCCTCCTCCTCACCTACTTCAAGATCCACCACCAGAACCATTGCCCCTCTCTCTCTCAGATCGTGAAACCCTAGGCGGCGATCCATCCATCGCACCATTAGCTCCTACTCCGTAACTGCCGCAGACGACGGCGACTGCCATCACCAAACTCTGTCTCTCTCCCCTCCTTTTCCTCTTCATCTTCTTAGGAGTCCCTCTTCTCTGTCCACCGCCTCTCCTCTAGCGACGCCACTCCTCCGTTCACTGCCTCCTCCTCACCTACTTCAAGATCCACCACCAGAACCATTGCCCCTCTCTCTCTCAGATCGTGAAACCATAGGCGGCGATCCATCCATCGCACCATTAGCTCCTATTCCGTAACCGCCGCAGACGACGGCGATTACGCCGCCTTCGTGGTTTGTTCTAACATTGAACATCATCGAATCTGCGTTTTGGATCGCGATGCCAAGTCGGTGGTGATCGAAGTCTGCCTTGTTCGGTTTCGTTTTTTGATGATGTTTCAAATTAATGAATCTGATGAAACACCCACAAACACCCACAATCTGATGGATCTGATGTTCTAATGAATTTGATGATGGATCTCGAGCAATAGTTTCAATTTTTTAAAAAATAAATCTGATGTTTGATGTTTGATGAATAATGTTTGATGTTTGATGAATAATTCTAATGTTTAATGGTTGTGTTTGATGTTTAATGAATAATGTTTGTTGTTTGATGAATAATCCTGACGTTGATAATGTTTGATGTTGGATGAATAATTCTAACGTTGCTAATATTTTCACCGATATTATACGAATAATCCTGACGTTGCTAATGTTTGATGTTTGATGTTTGATAAATAATTCTGATGTTGCTAATGTTTGATGTTTGATGTTTGATGAATAATGTTTGACATAACAAGGCCTATAGTAAGCTTTTAGAGAAATAGGACCTATTAGTCCAACAAAAAACCTTCGAGAATAAATGGATTAACATTTCTAAATTTGGGATTTATTGGTGCTTTCCCCAAAAATAAATGTGTGATTTGGAATTATTTTGAGTGTAGTTCCCACTACACCTAGAATGAATTTGGACAACACTTAAAAGTTTTTTGTTAGTTATGTTTTTGTGCTAGTAAGCATTATTGTTTTAGAGTCGCAAGATTGCAAGAAATGAATTGGGAGAATTGCAAATCAGTGGGAAGAAGTGAAAATAATTGCTAAAATATGAAGGTGCAAGTAGGTTTTTGTTATAGTGCAAATGAAAATTGTGGCCTTGCACAAGAGCAGAAGCCCCACTTGCACCTCCATAGTTTTGCAATTACGCTCGTATTTTCTAGCGTTTGGTATGATAGAAAACGTTTTCCATGATCCACTAAAAACAAACTTATTTGGATAGAAAATATTTTTCACTTTTGATAGGTGGAAAATATTTTACCAATGGCACCACACCACAACAATTACCACTACCACACCACCATCTCCACCACTACAAAAATTACCACATTAGTTTCAAGGTCGCAGCCAAATATTGAAATAAAAAATAAAAAAAAGGTTTTTACAGAAAACATTTACTGGGAAAGTTCATCATGGTAAATGTTTTTTTTTTTTAAATGGTTTTCACAGAAACAAATGGAGTGTTGCTTTTAACTTCTTTCCACTGATTTCTAATTCCCCTAAATGTATTTGTGACAAAGTATAGTGAAGAACCAGTTTGGGATTTTACCAGTACCTAATAGCAGCAGAGAGGTTTGAGAGGTAGTCCCTGTGAAATCTTATCCTCTTGTCATCTTTTAAAGCCTTGTCTAAAGGTATGTAAAACTTATTTGGATCATCCACACCTGCATTCATGAACTTAAACCAGTGTGACATGTCACAGAAGTTGGAGGAAGTTTTACTTCTGAGGCTGCAATTTACTCACCATTTTCAGTGATTATCACTGGTAGATTTCCATATTTATGCTTCACATATCTCATTAATTTCCGGATTCCCCATGGGACTATGTGTAACCAGGAAGAAGCAGCCTGGAGGAGAAAGAAGTCATGATCAGATTTTAATTTAATTTAAGAGCAAATTACACTTTACCCCCCTCAACTATTGGCTGTTGTCACTTTGTTTCAATTTCAAACTTCTATTAACATTTTGTTATAAAAGATGACGAAAAAATGGTATGTGAGGTGCTCATATCATTTTTATAACGAAAATGCTCATTCAAGAGCTGATTTATTTACATATATGTGGGATGTATGTATATATCTCCCCCTCTCCTATGTATATAACCTAACTATTGAGTGAACATTTTTGTCATATAATTGTATGTACAACTCATATGCCACTTTTCCGTTCTCTTTTCATAGCAAAATGTTACCAGAAAGTTGAGACTGAAACAAATTAGAAAATTAGAGGGGCAAAATGTAGTTAATGTTTTAGTTCGAGGTGGTAAAGTGACAACGGCCCATAATTGAAGGGAGTGAAATGTAATTTGTCCTTAATCCTAATTAACATGAAATTATAGTTCTCACGAAGAGGCAAGGAAATACTTTGTCTCCAATGGGAACTCCGTGCCTGGAAGCTAAAAATTGAGGACATATACAACAATCATAATCAGTTTCAATTTTAATCTATCTTCAATTAGACATGTAATAGTATTGTAGGGCTTTAGCATCTTACAGGCAGTGATCACAGCAGCATCTGCGGAAGCATCCTGCATTACGAATTTCCGAATCCGAGTTCTGTCGTTCCGAGCATACAGTGTGGTGTAATGGTTTATGCCTATGTAGTCCAAAGACCCAACCAACGATCTTGACAACTTGTGAGTGATCTTAGGTAGTCTCTCACCGACGTTCTTCTGCATTGAAAGAGGATATTCGCCAAGCAGAAGCGGATCAAGGAACCTGATTCACCTTTTCAAAGTTACACGGACTAATCTATTGAAATCAACAATGCTATGTACCCAGGAAAAAAATACTCATAAAAATGCTCTGAATTTGACAATATAGATTTATGAGATATTATCTCTGAGAAATTACCATCCGAGACCAAAATCTATTGCTCTACTTGCAGCATCTTTGTCCTCATCACAATCAGACATTGGCTCATACCATTTTGCATCCAGGGCTATCCCAATCAGTCCTCCTTGACTATCCTGGAAAACCCAAATGAGTAGAAAAAGAAAATTTCAAATAAGTTTCCCTTCTCTTTTCATTTAATTTTTTTGGGGAAATGGTGCATCTGGAATGCACGTTATACAAAAAGTATAACTTCTACCATAAAAAGTGTACATTTTTCGCTCATCACAAAACATATAACTTTTATAAAAAGAAAAACATTTTAGGGGTGCACATCTTAACTTCGCCATTCATAACTTTCACCACAAAAATCGTAACTTCCACTAAAAAAATTCGTAAATTTTCCTGCGAAAGACACAATTTTTCTTACAATGTGCACCTTTTTAGGGGTGCACATTATGATTTTTAGTAATTATGTCGTGCACATGAGGACAGGAGTACCTTGAAATGGCGCTGGTAAGTCTGATAAGCAGCAGCATGAGCCAAGAGGATGTTGTGAGCTACAATGTATGGTTCAGTGGATGATTTTCCTTTCTTACAATAAACATGGGCGAGAAGTGAACATCTCCCAGGAGCTTGAATTCCCCAGTTGTACCCATCTATTGAGACACCCCGAGGCTCATTGAAAGTGATCCAGTACTTCACTCTGTCTCCAAAAGCTTGGAAGCAGGTATAGGCATAATGTTCAAAGTCCTTCCTGCAACAAATTGGTTGAGGGCATTTCTTGAATATATATATATATATATAAACCCACAAAAGTTTATCTTATTACTTACACTACTTGATTGCTTAACCACCCTTCATATCTATCTTCTAGCATCTGTGGAAGATCCCAGTGATATAGTGTTACATAAGGCTGAATTCCTGGTACAAAAGGGGAGCTGCTAAAGCTCAACAGTACAAGATATTTATAAAAAATGTAAAATTTGATAGAATTTTTCAATTGAATTGACCTCTTTCAAGTGAAGAATCAATGATACAGTTGTAATATTCTATTCCTTCTGGATTTGGTTCTCCAGTTCCATCTGTCAAAAATATATTCTCCAACGGTAAGTCATAAATAAAAGAAAGAGAATGGCACAAGATCCTCTAGCCTAAAATTCCTATCCCCCTACTCTCAATGCACTCTCAGATACACAATCGTGCCTTGGGATTCTTATGTTTTTCAAGATTTCTATCATATCGGGATACCAAGATTTTGGGAACAGAGGATTCTTGGTCAGAATGATCAGAGTGGAAGATATATGCTTACTTGGGAAAATTCTTGGCCAGGAAATTGAGAACCGGTAAGCATCCATTCCCAAGTCCTTCATCAAGTCTAAATCCTCCTGTAATTTTCGAAGGTTTTACCTTCCCTTTTGGTTAGCAAGTTAACAAGAGAGAAAGTGCAGTCTTTATGCTGAAGTAATCTTTTTATATTCTTTGTCAATTGTCTTCTTTAGAGACTATTCTTATTCTTATCTTGTCAGTGTCACCGGCACATCATCATTATTCATAATTATTAAATCTTACTATATTTTTTTAAACCTTCACCATTGCGAAATAATTGGGTGTTCATCATCCAAGTGATTATCCAATTAATCCCCAAATTTATCATTTTAAAATTATCCTTCTAAACATGATTAAATTTGAATTAAAAGACAAAAACACACTCACAAGCACACACAAAGTAACTATTTATGAAAATCAACTTGAAGGTACCAAATGTATCTTTTAGAATTCACCTGGAACCGATGGTACATATCGACGGCAGTGTCGGCATTGCTGAAATCCAAGATCCTCCCAGCTTATTAAAACACACAAAAACATATAATTCAAAAAACACTAAAAACCCAATTCTAATAGTTTCATTACTAAACACAACATTTTGAGGTTTTGCAGAGTTGAATTGCTCTTTAAATTCTTCTCTGAATCACAACATCAAACACAAGGGCTGCACTAATTCGGTTGATTTAGCTTCTTACCTGGTTGCCTTGTGAGGGTATCCCATATGCTTGGCCCTTTATTTCCTTCATCCACAGCCCCTTCAAACTACAACACACAGTACACACACACAACACTATATCACACATATATATATATATATATATGTACACTCACACATACTCTGTGATGGGTTTGAAGCAGATTGAAAGATGAAGAGTGAAAATCACTACCTGGTAAGCTGAAGAGGCGGTTCCAAAGACAAACCCATCTGGGAAATCAGCTCTGGTTATGGATTGTGAGCTCACAAAGAGATGGGTTAAGGTAAAAATGAGGATTTGAATGATTGTAATGGAGAAAAAGTTCATTTCTTGACAGGTAACAAAGGAATTAAGGAGCTTTTTGTTTTGTTTTTTTGGACAAGTCTATTGGAGTTTGGTAATCTGTTATTATTATATATGCAAGTATATACAAAAACAGAGGAGTACTAGTATTCTATAATATGTTAGTTGTGAAGTGAAGGAAAATAATATGTATGGTTTGAAGGGAAATCAAGAGAGATGTATAGTTGGGGAAAGCGACTCTTGGTGATCACTTGTGCTGGGAAGGTGTTTATCTTTTTGGGATTTGATTTGAATTTTTTTTAGTGATTTTAGTTTTTTTTTTTTTTACACTCTCTTATATTTTGATGAAGTGAAAAAGTTAATGCATTGGATAACAAATTTTTTTTAATTACATAGAAAAAAGTAATTGATGAATATATAACATTTATTTTTTGCCGGCCCTGCAAACATTGTTATTTCTTATTGTGTTGTGTACAACACAAAACACGTTACAACCTATTGGGTCAATTTAGAAACTTAGCTAAAAGTTACAAGTCAGATTTTAATCTATTTTAAATTATATCGCCTCTTTATTTTTATACATGTTAATCAATTTTTAACTATCTTTTTAAAATAAAGTAGAAGATGAATTGCTGGTGGTGGTAATTGGATAAAGCAAAGAAAATTGTTATATGATATGTTTTATAATTTGCTTTTTAATTAATTTGATTTAAAAAAATAGAATTGTTTAGTTGAGATAAATTAAAAAATAAAATATTTTAACTCAAAGTTAAAATGAGTTTGAAAAAATATCAAATAAATCGTACAAAATTGTTTTTTCTTTTAATTGTAGCCAAAGGAAGCTTCATTAAATTTATTATGTAATAATAAACTTTTAAAAACCGAAACAAATAATAAGATAAAAATTTGTAAAACTCATTAATTTATAAATTATTAGCTGTACTATATACAGAAATTATTTATAAAAAAACATAAATAAGACATTTATGAATCATTTATTTTTGTCTTTGTTTATGAATTATTATGCAAATAACTTTCATCCAAATATCAAAAAAATTGAGAGTAGAAAAAATAAGCTGTACAAGTAATTCATATATTGAATTGTGCAAATAAAATTTATATCTTTATCATTTTGAAATTATATTTCTTACTCACCATCTTTTTTGAAAATTTTCCAATAGTTGTAGGGGTAATTACACCTAGTATAATTTCAAAAAAATAATTACGCATAAGTGAAATTTTTTATAATTTTAATTATTAATATTTATAAAATTTATTATTAATTTATAATTATTTTTTTTATAGTATAAGAGCATCTCTAACGGTAGTAAGCATTTTATCTATTTAAATATTACTATAAAGTATGCATTTTATTTTGCCTATCAACTGTTTTATGTTTTTTCTCCAACCATGCTCTTTATTTTAACTATTTATCCAAATACTATTATTTTTATAGAATATCACATCAGCAACAAAGATTGAGGGAAATGATCCTAATGATTGAATATATTTTGTCTAGCGTTGAAGGCTAGTTACATGTAACTAGTGAATAGCAGTTGAGCTAAAATACCTAAGCATATGCCTAGGACATTGAAATTATGAAAAGTAAGTCACACTAATCATTTTAACTACTAACAAATGTTATATACCTAATGGATTGGAGATGCTCTAACTGATTTGATATTTTCCCGTAATTTTACTCATAAAGTACTTGAAAACACGTGCTCAGATGTGTGAGAAAGTGCCAAATGTGTGGCAATTAACGTGGCATACATATCCTTCAAGAAATGACAATACTCCACGTCACCTAAAATCCTGGCATGTGGATAATGGATGCATATTATCACAAGTTGAGAGTATTTATTTATTTATTAATTAATATGCGATTAAAATAGGTATTAAAAAGTCACTTACTTGCTAGGCAGCTTAAAGTGTTGAGTGTTGAATCAAATCAAATTTTGATTTTAATTTTTATTAAATTAGTATAATTACTTGTGTTATACACAGGTATGAATAAATAATCAAAAACTAATTTTAAAAATTAAATAATAATTTAAAAAATTATTTAAAATATTTAGTGAAAATGATTTAGAATCAATTAAATTTTATTTATTTTTATCACAATTATATATAAGAGAATTTTTTTTATTCTTATGTCATTAATTGTGTGCTCTAAGTTTTTAATAACAAATAGATGTCATAATTTAATTGATAAAAATTAAAAAATAAATCACAATAATTATATTTGTGATAGAATATAAATATATTTCGTCTTATGAGTTTTGTAAATTTAATTTATCATATGATAGTGGTAAATTACATTTATCAATATATTAATTTTTTCATATTTTGTAAAGTCTAAAAATTTGTCTGGCATCGAAATTATAATGTCTTATGTTATAAAATTTACGTAAAAATATATTAGAATTCACTTCTGATATTAAATTTGGACTTTAACATTAGATTTATACCAACTTGTCATTTACCTAATTATTAAAAATTATCTTGGTTTATTCCCAACTTATATGAATTATTTGACCTATCTATTTATTAAATTAGTAAATAGATATTTGTAAGTATTTTTTATAATAATTAAAAATTTTGAACTTAGTTTAAAAAAAAAAAAACTATATATTTATGTTTAAAACAATTAAATGAATAGTTACATATAGTTATGGATGAAAAAATTATCTAAGATATAACCACCCTAAATTGTAACTCATATTTTAATCCTAATAAATTTAAATTTTATCAATACTTATCAATTCGTGACTGATATGAGCTAATTTGGTGGTTTTAACATTTGATTAAATACTAAAAAGTAGTCAATAAAATTTAGTTCAAGTCGATTTTTGTGCTAATAATTCTTGATTTAAGCTTAGTCCTTGGAGAATCGTCTAGTTCATATCCAATCCATGAGTTAGTGGATCCACCTATTTATTTAATTTTTAATTAGTAAATATATTTTTAAAAAAAATTATAACAAAAATAGGAAATATGTACATATTTGTTTCGTATATTTATTAAAAATTTTAAAATTAATTAAGAAATTATGTAGTTATTCTTAAAAGAATAAATTACATTGGTAGTCTCTATATTTTAATTCTTATGTTATTTTTGTTATTGCAATTTTAATTTGCTCGATTTTGACCTTCAATTTATAATTTTGTCTCAATTTGGTCCAATTTTTATAATTGCTAGTTTTTTTTTTTTTTTTTTTTGAAAACACACACATGAGTAGCATCTATTATAATTTTATAGACAAAATTATAAATTTGTTCAACTCAGTAAATTAATGTCAACCAACTTAATAACTATTTTCTTTTAAAAACTTTAACCGATATTATCAATTGGACCAAATTGATACAAAATCTAAAATTAATAGTCAAAATCAAGCTAATTAAAATTACAAAGACCAAATTGACACAAGAGACAAAATGTGGGGACTATCGATATAATTTACCCTTCTTAAAATATGTCTAATATTGATTGTATCAATGTTAAGATATATTTATATCTGAAAAACTATTTAAGACCAAATCAGGCTAAAGCCTGAATAAGAAATTGATGGCTTATTAAAAATATTTAATAATTATAAATTTAAATTTGATCAATTTTTTATTTAATTTTTTTCATAATAGAATTAGATTGTTTGATAATTATAATTTATAGTTCGATTTTTTTTTTTGTATTTTCTTAAAAATATTTTAAAATTATATATAATTATAATTTCTTTTGCCTTCGCTTGGCAACTTGGGTTGGGTTGGGTTGGGTTTGGGACTATTTTAGGTACAAAAAGACAAAATAAGCTTTTTAACTTAATAAGACAAAATGTCACATCCAATCCATAATTATTTAATTCTTTCTTTCACTAAAAGTCAAAAAAGTCAAAAAATCTATCATAAACGAGATTTTTTAACCCCATGCTAAAATATCCAAAAAACCAACTTGCTTCCCAAATGAACTCTTTGAACTTTCCTTTTCAATCTCAAATTAGTTATAACTTGAATTATATATAATTTTTTTTTGCTTCTCATCTACAAAAACTAACAATGAACATAAATTATTTTTTAAACATTGTAAAAAATAAATAAAGAAATATATTATCAATAATAATAATAACAAAAAATATTTTTATTTATTATGTGACATCCCATGACTACATTGATAATAAACATTAATAATAAAACTCATTACAATAATACAGTAATAATATATCAGATGATAAGTAACATGTGATCACAATAATTTTTTATAGTTATACAAAAGTATGCAAAATGATATATAAAAAAATAATATCTTATCCATATTCAATTTTTATATAGTAAAATCCACACTTAATCTCAACCATACATTAGTTTTCTAAATTAATTCATCACCCAAATTATCTACTATTCTTTTAAATAATATTCACCTTTTTAAAACTTAATCAAACAATACTCCAACAGAGCTCATCATCATCCTTGTTGTTCCCATGCTCACCACCTCCACTAACCACTATGCAACTCCATTCTAATTTTATATCTGTGCAAATTTAAAAAGACAATGTTTGGGAAATAAAAAGGTAATGTTGAAGTTTTAAAGAGTTAAAAATGAAAAATGAAAAAAATGTGCCGTTTTAGTTTTTCTTATTCCATATATGGGTAATAATTTTTTTTTAAAATTCATACATTATGAAACAATGTTTATTATTTAAAATTTTATATATTGATGGGCAAGTCAATTAAATGTTTTTAATTTTTTACAAATAAAAAAAATTTGAAAATTTTGTTTAAGAAATTTTAAAAAATGGCCAAATCGTAAGGAATAATATAAGACGTCCTATTCTCTTAAAAAACTCATAACTATATTATCAATTTACATATATCAAAAATAATAATAACAACAATATAAAAAATACACAAACATCCACAAAAAAAAAGATAGTTAAACATATATATATTTATTATCAATTTAGTTGGAAAAAAATATATTGGAAAAAAAAAGTCATATAGAGAAAAAAAAAAATTTCTCACACGAAAATAGAAATTTACAAAAAAAAAAAAAATACAAACAAACAAACTTGAAATAAGTTTGGACTATTGACAAAGAGAGAAACTAATCTTTGCATTATTACATTTGGTCAGGAGTTGGTTGGGCT